TTCGCAGTCACAGTCCACTGGGAGTTTCAGCAAAACACAAGGGCCCTGAGACAGGTACGGCACGGCTTGTAGGATGTGGGCGTCTGAGAAAATCGATCTACTCAGCCTCATGCAATAATCTCCACAAAAACCTCCCTGATCCCTAAAACCTGAAACCAATAGAGCTTTTTCACCCGATGCCCTAAGCCCGAACCAGAACCCCCTATACATTTTCCAGCATGGGTCTGGATTGGGCACCAGCATTAAACCCTAAAATTAACTTAACTCTGGGCCCCTGGGTCTTTAGAAACGCCCAACTTTCCCGCCTTGCTGCGAAGGTGCCGGCTAGAGAGGCTCGGAAAGCTAAGCGCCGAGGCTTACAAGCAATTAGACTAGGGTTCTGGGGTAATGCAGGGGCCTTACTAACTAGAATAGGGTTTTGCGGTATATTGCACTTTCAGTTCACCAAGGAACCCCCAAAATAGTATAGGTAATTATTCAGGCCTCTATATATATGATACTATCGTATGCTTGTTTAAAGCGCCGTAAGGAAGAATAGTGGTATTTGTGTGCTGAAGGGGCAATGTAGGGTTCATGGTTTAGGGTCGGTGGGACAGCTAATGTTCTGGTTCTGGAATGGTGGCTTTAAATTAGGGTTTGTCGATTGGGGACTACCTAGGGTTTAGGGTTTAGTGAAGTGGTTTAAGGATTATGTGGGGTTAACGGTTAAGTAAGCTGTTGTCTTGAGTCTTCTTTTTCCGGCTGCATGACATCACTAAGTACCAGAAGCCCTAGATTGACGCAAATCTGTAAATCTTCAAGCTGACTCTAGCCGCTGACTGCTCCGGAACTTACGGTAACTACCATGGTTTAGGCCTCAGTGGCTATTGCATGACTTACTCTTAGTGGGTCTCTATGGTTCTTTACCGGCACTTGGATAAACAACCTGTTGAAACAAGCGATATGGTAGTGCAGAAGAAACACTTGCGCCCCGGGAGTTCCAGCGGACGGATTGGGGTTCCCACAACCCACCTAAACCATTAAACCCTAATCTTCTGCCAATTAAGATGTCGGGCTTCGGACTTGCGTGAGGCGTGCTGGTCACGACGAAGGCATTCCTAACCCTAAGCCTGGCACGTCAACCCCTACTAAGCTCTAACATGTAGCTGATACAAACTCTACAAGTTTGCTCGAAAGCCCTATACGAATACCCCCAAGTAGGGTGGGAGTGGCGCCTTCTGCTGTACTGCATTCCGTGAGCCTTAAACACAGCGGTCTAGCGATAGACAAGAAATGAAAATTGAGCGCTGCATCGAATGGAGGTTGTTCTGATCATCCTATACTAAATCCAAAACCCAACACCTTAAGCTCTGAACTCGAAACCCATTTCGGGTCTTTCTGCTCCATGATGATCGGAAGCCGAGCTTGACACTTGACCACTAGATACACGTAGTTCCTTAACTTAGCCACTAACCAGGTTTTATTGCTGTCAAGCCTGAAGCTTATGGCTGATGGGTAAGCCTCCAACTCAGTATTATACTATATTGTACTATATTGTAATATATTATATTATACTATATTATATTATAATATATTATAAGAACAACCCCCAGATGCCAAGAAAAGTGTTGCCAGCACTGCCAGCGTAGGCCCGGCTTGAGGAGCCGCGAGCCTGTGCAGGGACAGGAAAAGGTCAAGCTTGGCAAGGCTAGCGCGTCGCCCTAGGCCCTAGAGGTACCCCAACCTGTAAGGGCAGAGCCCAGTTGGGACACCTCTGCCTACATGCTGCGAGGAATACAACTGAAAGCATCGTGCAATCGCGGAAGTCGACCAGTCGCAACTCACAAAACGGAAAGTCGCCATACAGGCCCGGACTGGACAAAGGCGGTCAAAAGCGCCCAGGATCCAAAGGGGTGGCTACAGGCTGCGAGCACAACTGCAACACACAGAACCCTCCTAGACCCCAAACTCCCAAAGACCCTCGAAACGACAACATCTTCGAGCCTGGGGGTTCCTTGCATGGAAAGCCACCAAAAGAGCCGAGGGTTAGAGTTGCACCACGAGGCTGATGCAGTGCCTTCGCGGAAGCTGAGAGTTTGAGGATTTGGTTTCATCAGGGTGAAAGTGTAAGGTTTCCGGTTCCAGGAAAGGTTCAGCAGGGTGTGAAGTTTATGCTCTCGCAACTGGAGACGCAGCCGGACGAGGCTACAGAGTTTAAGGCTTAGTTACGCAGCTCTGGAAGCTGGAACTGTTGCCGTGGTGCTTCGTGCAGGCCGTACAAGGGGCCTTGGTGGTTGGGGTGGAATTTGGGGATGTGTTACGTTGGGGCTATGGTAAGGAATCAACCCTAATGCAGTTATATTCATTCCGTCCTCCTTCCTTCGGACTGTAGATCCGGAACGGCGTGTCCATCATCATGCAAGTTTGAATTCTGGCGAAACGCCCAAAAGCTAGCAGCACTCCCTTCAGCGGACCGTGCCTCTACAGCCGATCTGATCCACTCATGGAAAGTAGGATCGGGCCTGTACAGTCGAGAGAGAGAGTACCCAAATCCAGGACCGCTCCACACTCTCCGATGCCCTCATCAGCTGTGATTGCCGGGGGTCCGAACGGGACCCGTGCCGGAGCAGCCGTATCGTAGGTATTCCACGAGCCGTCCCGCAACTTTTGGAGACGCTGTTTGTCAAGCCTTTCTGCTTCGTCCACCTCGAGCACGGTTAGTGGGCGCAGCAGAAGGCAGGTTCGCAACATACAATCATCACTTCGCTTTAGGTGCATCTGGAGCCTACGGTAACTGTATAGTATGTGCGCAAGCAACAAACGCACACGGGCCAGATGCCTCGGTGCAAGAACCCCGTGCGCGAGCCATGTGCAGGTGCTTGCCCAGCGGAGATGCTTGATGACACCACGGGCACGCGTATGCCGGTGGTTGTCCGCTGCCGGCGGGCGTCGCGGCAATGGCAACAGTTTCGCCATTCTGGTCCCAGTGCAACAAATCGAGCTGTACCTGCCATAGGCACTCCTGATCCGGAGGATCCACCAGAGCGGTTGATCCTGGCAGACCTCAACTAAGGCAGCAAAAGGGGAGTGCAGGTTGTCAAGGGTCGCAACAGCAGGAACATACATGGCAATGCGCCGAATATCAACTTCAACCTGCCCCAGCCAAAGCGAGGGCCAACCGGGGGGGGGTGGGAGCATGTGCCCGTCGGAGAACCTCATAGCTGTGAAGAGAAGGCCCGTCACTATATTACACTATATCCAGCGTATTAGAGCAACGAAGTGCTTGGCCCAACGCGTGAGTGGAGGGCCGCAGTCACTTGAACGGCTGCACACCCAAACAACACGTATCGCGAAATGGCTGAGGACCGGAGCGAATGTCGGCGAAGGTCCAAAGGTATGGCTGTCGTACTGAAGAGGCGTGATTTCAGAGGCCTCACCACCGACATTGCTTGACTAGCCGTCTGGGAACAAATCTGCAGGATCTGGATTTCCGGATAAGTCCCGAGGGCCCGAGGGTCGCATGGCCGACACACCCTGCCAGGTGGTAAGGCAGCATAGGGCGCACGCTCGCGATATGGGCACGTGCTGTGGTATAGCCTCACATACCCAAGCGACCTGAACAAGCTCCAGTAAGGAACCTGCACAAGCCTTTGCGCCTTACTGGCTCTCTTGGGTGCGCCTGTTTGCGCTGCTTGCAATGGCCCAGCTCGAGCTGACCCAATCGAATCCAAGCTCAAAACGACCATCGGTTACACCATGAGGGTAGGCGCCATGCAAGCATTACCCAAAGATGATCGGTAGAAGCCCAAGGCTTTCAACAACAACCCACAGCAGGCTAGAAAGGGCAGGACTGCCGAAAGGAGGGCTGTCGAAGCCTGGGCCTGCAACCACAAAAGGACTGCAGGCACATAGAATGGCCTGATGTATGCAAGCACACAGGAAGGCACACAAAAGTACACGGAGTAGGAGCTGCAAACATATACAGACATCCATTTCGAAGGTGCTCACCTACATGAGCCTCCATGCCTAGGATGATCTGGAAGCCCAGAACCCAAAGTATCTTGCCAACGAGAAGTGCGCCGCTGAGCCGCCGAGCGAACTAAATTGACCATGACGTAAAGATTTGAATTCTCGTATACCCGATCCATGCAACCCTCAAACCCCATGACTAATGAAGATTAGGTATCTCACGGTTGAAGAGCTCCAGACGATACTAGCAAGGAGGTGGTTCTAGAGTATTTAACTTATCTCGGCTTCACAAGCTGCAGCTTGCCAATACATCGATGCAATAAGCACCAACTCAACACCTAATCCCAATTCAAACCGAAGCCCCAAAAGAAAGACTGCCCAAACCACCAGAAGTGCCTGATGGTGTCCCCTTCGGCAGTGGTCGCGGATGACGAATCCATGCCTGGACACAGCTAGGGAGTAGACAGGGTTTATATGGCTCAGGGCTCCAATGGGCTTGGGATGTAGAGCGAGAGGTTCAGGGCATAGAGGTTGGGGGTATTGGAATAGACGTTCCTCGTCGCTGTGTCGACGTACCCCAACCTCTCTCCGACCCCAACATCTAGGGACCTAAGCCATTTCCCCACTCCCCCTACCTTGACTTCGCAACTTTGGGAACCCTGAAATTCAAGGGGGGGGGGGGGAGGGGAGCCAAATATGGGCCGGGTCAGCTTCTGCGTTTCCAGGCATAGGCCTTCTGCCTAAACCCCGAAAGCAAATCCACAATGCCGCCAAGGTACCCGACCCTGGACAAACTCTACTCTATTGTGAAGCTCCTGATTTTGAAGCTCGCCTTCCGTCATATCCAAAATCCGGATACCAACGTGCACGTTTTGCATGTTGGCGTGACGGATTTCTCATGGGAAACCATTGAACCATTCTTCAAAATCCTTGGCAAGCCTTGGCTCATCCACCCGAAAGTGATAAGGACAGGTGTTCGTCCGCACACAACCAAGCTCCGAACCCCGAGCCCTGCACCCTACTCCGCAAACACGGCATCAAGAGCGTTCTGCCTTCCCCGTTGCCATCGCAAGTCTGTTCCATGAACTCTGTCGAGGACATCGGAGCCACCAAGGGATCCTGAGAGATAGGATTCCGGATTTGAAGCCCGGAAGCACCCACTCCCCCATGTTGCCTGCAAAGCTAGGAAGGTTGTGTGGCTTTAGGGGTCGACGTGACTCCAGCATTGGAGGTTTGCAAGGTACTATCTATCTATGTATCTATCTATCTATCATCTATCCCTCTCTATCTTTGTCTATATCTATCTGGATCTATCTATATCTATCTCTTTCTATCCGTATCTATCTATATCTATCTATATCTGTCTCTATCTATCTATCTATCTATCTATCTATCTATCTATTATCTATCGATCTATCTATATATACATACGCACACCATACTACATACTGTATACTATAAACTGCAGAACAACAAGGTATAGCAAGGGCCACAGCGTGGAATGCGCAAGCGGTGTCTACGGTTACGGAAAACCCTAACCCTAAGGGTCCATGTACCCAAATACCATTTCCTTTGGACCCAATGTATCTATATAGGGACTACTTTAAGGCCAATGTATATACTATACGAGTACATGGACCCTTAGGGTAAACCAAACCTTCTGGGCTGCTGTTTCCTGAAGCAGCCTGTCCTCTTCCTCAGCCGATGTCTGAGCACCTTGGTTGATGCAGGCTTTTCTACTATGTGCAGTTAGGGTTTAGGGCTTAGGGGGTTTTTTGTTCAGGCTTTAGGGATGTTTAGGGCTTTATGAGGTTAGGTTTAGGGGTCCTTCACTCACAGCACTCGCTCTTGAGAAGACATTGGGGAGAGAATCGCGCCTTGAGACCTGAGGGCCTGAATCCGAAACGCTAAAATGCCAAACCGAACCCTATGAAATCATAAACCGTAGGCCCCCATCAGAATCCCCAAACCCTAAAGCACAACACCGAGCCTATATATTCTGAGCTCCGAAACCCTGAAGCCTGAACCGTTAACACCCTCAACTCTAAATATTGAAATATAAAATACAAATATAGTATGGTATAATATAAGATGACACAATAAGATACAGTAAGATACAGCATAACCTAATGCAATATAATAAAAATATAATCCAGCATTAATATATTAAATGCTGTAACCACCGAACGAAAGGTTCTGTCCCTCTGTTCGACAAACAGGTTGTTGAGCTTAGGGCCTTAATGCTTCGGGGTTTATGGCTTCGGGTTTTACGGTTTTAGGGTTTAGGAATGAATTCTCGGATAAGACATGAACCACGACACTCCGACACAAATAAGACTGCTTGGGTATAAAGACTAGTTGGGTGTGGAAAGTCCCCCAAGCCTCTGAAGGGCCCAATCGAAATACAAGGTGGTTTCGAGGTATCAAAGTGTGTGAAGCAGAACGCTTTGATAGATCCAAGATCCAAGCCGAAACAACTCTGGCAGGATTTGGTCTGGCAGGATTTAGGAAACTTAGGGTTCAGGGATTCGTGTGCCGATTCGCGGCCTAGGACTTAACGTTCAGGGATCAGGCAAAGACGATGGCATCGGGTTCAGAATGTAGGAGTTCCAATACTTCGGCAAGAGAAATTTGCTCTGATGGGAAATCTAAACGCACCGGGCCTGAAGCGTATAGTACACATAGGCTACGGCTGCTAAGCAAAGATGTGTCAGACAAACGCTAGGGGAGGACCACTTTACTCAGTAGGTAAGCAATCATATAAAACAGTCGTAACCATATGCCAACTAGGTTTCTAATTATTGAACTAAACATTGCTAGGCCATCCAAGCAACACAGCGTGTCGTCTCGCTGTGACTCAACAAACTTCACAAACTTGTCCGGGTTGGCAGCAATCAGAGCCTGGTGCTGCAAGTGCTGGCGATGCACGGCAGGATTGGTTTCAGGCAGCAACAGAACAAGGTGATAGCATCAAGCCTCATCTTCCCATAAAGAAAAGCCAAGAGTTAACGGTAAGCAAACCAAATCTGACAAATAGGCATGTCTCGCACAATATGCTCAATCAACTCCACCGATACGAGGGAATGCATTCCACACTGTTGGATGGACACTTTGGATGATTCGACGCCACAAGTGGGATTGTTGGCGATTTTGCCGACGGATTCGCCTGGTGCATGCCCTATATGTCGACAACACTATTGAAACGCAGCGCTAGCGATTTTGTGTTGCTCGCTTGGCAGAGTGCGTCTAGAGTCTATAGTATACCTTCGGCGGCGAGTCCTCCTTGACTGTACAAGCGAAGACCGCACCCCATCCCTCTTGGGATGTGGGCACCCTCGGCTTTGGAGATATCATCTCTGTATGCATGTGCACATGTGAACATAATGTGCGCCAGGAACCTGCCTCGGTGGCACAACGCATTGAATACACGCCGTGTACCAGACACCGACCCACCGATCTTAAATCCACGGCAGAATTCGAAGCCCGAAAGCTCCGACATTTACATTGCTTTGCCTGAGCCATGAGCTGCAAAGCCAACAGCACACCCCGACCACTTGTCAAAGTGCTATGTCGGTCTACCACTATCTCGGCCATGTTTGTCTAGCTTCAAAAATGATTGTTCATAGGGCGGAAACAGAGATATTGCATGATTGCCAAGGCCATCGTTCTCAAGAAAACCTTTCACCGAAATGCACCAACATAGTCGGGGCACCAACAGCTTGTCCAAGTTTTGCTCGTGAAGGCCTCCGTTGAAAGTGGGTCTGGGGACCCATGTCCTGTTGGCGGCAGGGGACCCTCACTCCTTACAATCGGACTTTCATGGTAAAATGCTTCAAGGGAGTCATGAAGCCTACTTTTTTTGACACGGGAGCACAGAGGACAACAGGCCATGGTTGGCCTCACACCCGAACCCTCAGCCTCCCGCAACTATTACAAACTCGCGGACAACCCCCGAATTCAAGCCCGTAACCGCCAAGTCCCCAACCGCGAGACCCACGATCCTAAACCGCAAAAACATCAAGCCCGAATCCTGTATGCCTTGCACCCGAAAGCCTAATAGTGACTTAAAGGACTGAACCTGATAATCTTGGAAGCCTTTGGGTTGAGCTATGGTTGTTATAGGGTTTAGGGTTTGGGTTTTAGGGTTTAGGGTTTTAGGGTTTAGGGTTTGGGGTTTGGGGTTAACAGGTTGGGTTTCAGGTTTATGTGTCACAGGCGCAAGACGAATCCAACAGACCGATCTCAGTGGACTGACACGCCAAGGTTAGTGTGGGGGCCTGTTTAGAATCTTGGGAAGCGTTAATGCGCTTTCTTGCTTACTCAAGCCCTGAACTTTTTGAGGGGGAGTCTACAATGCGCTTGTTTGGGGCCGGCTGTCTTTTTTTGTTTGCTTCCTTTCTGCTAGTGGTCAATCGTAAGGCACCCACAACTTCCTTCCCTGAAGCCCGACCCAAATCCCCTCCAAAACCCTAAAATCCTGGCCCCAAGCCCTAAACCCCCCCTTTAACCCTAGCCTAAGCCCAACACCACCGTGTGCTTTGGGACTTAGGGCAGCTAGGTTACTTACTTCCAGGGTTTTAGGAGGGCTCCGGCTCGGGTTCGAGGTGGGATTTACCTACGAGCTCTGCTTTGCGAGTCAGGACAGGAATAATCTCAAGCTTGGCGAGGCGGTCTAACGGTCTTGGCACTGAGAGCAGCAAGCTTGCTCAGGTACCTGAGGATTGTGCTTTGCAACTGAAAGGGGGTTAGGAAGGCTCAGGCTCGCGATCTTGCTCAAGCCCACCTACCGACCACACATCCCCGAAACCTATCGAACCCGCCTGGTCCTAAGCCCCTAAGCACCGAAACCTACTGAACCCTCCTAAACCCTTCTACTTCAGCCCCCAGACCCAAATCAACCCAAGCTAGCACGAAACCCCAGTCAAAGCCACCCAGACCCCAAGCTAACCCCCGCACCCAATCTACTGAACCAAGGCCAGGGGGTCACGAAGAGGCCCTGCAGGAATGGTCTGGGGGGCTGACTAGACAGGCCCCCACATTAAGGTTCTCGACACGAAGATCAGGCAGCCGTTTCTCCAAGACTTCATAAGGGTTTCCTACAAGTTCCAAGAAAGCTCCCGCACCCCAAGCCCTGAGCTTCGTAAACTCTAACACCCCAAACCCCCTATAGGCCCTATAGCAAACCTTATAAGCCTTAAACTTGAGGTAGAAGTGTTTCGGGCTGATGGCTTCGATGATTTGCTGAAAGCTGGTGTTCTGGGTAGGCCATCGCTGAGCTGGGGGGTTTGGTCTATGCAAAAAGGTTTGGAGTGGGCCTTAGGGTTTAAGAGGAGTTTGGGGTCAGCTTGGTTTCTGGGATCTATGGTCTTGAAGCCGGTATAAGTCTTTAGGATTTGGGTCTTGGGTTTTTTTACGGTTTAGGGTATATAGGGCTAGGCTATAGGGTTGTTGAGCCTTCACGGTTCAGGGGTTCCAGCTTGGCTTCAGAATTCATTCTGCGACCCTCGCTATCCCTAACCCCCTCAGGTACCTACTATATAGGGCCTTATAGGGGCTCTAGTAACCTATTTAGTAGGTACCTGGGGGTTAGGGTATCTATATAGGGCCCTAGGGGCTCTAGTACGCTATAGAGTAGGTACCTGGGGGGAATTAGGGTATTGTATTGATCAAGTCCTATTGATCGGTCCTGGCGCCTTCTTTCTCCGCTGCCTTTCGCGAGGTAAGCCTCCAGGGTAAGGTAGCACAAGAAAGTACCCATAGGTGGAGCGAAGGCTAGGGTTTGGGGCTTAGGAAGTGTAGGATTGCAGATAATCGCAATGAACAAGAAAAGTGATGAAACGTCTGCTGAGGACGATAACATGCTTGATCAGCCATAGCGGACTACTATCAAGCACAGCACAGCCACTAGAATCACTAGAACGCCACTACCCTACCACGATGACGGCGACGACGGCGACCACTACGACGACTTACACCGCCACCACCGGTGCCACCACCGCCACCGCCACCGAAACCACCACCGCCGTCGACGCCACCGCCACCGCCGCCACCACCACCGCCGCCGCCACCACCGCCACCACCGCCGCCGCCGCCACCACCGCCACCACCGCCACCGCCACCTCCACCATCAAGACCGACCAAGACCAAGAGGCAGACTACAACTACTACTACTATTACTACTACTACTACTACTACTACGACCACCACCACCACCACGACAACTACTACTGCTACTGCTACTGCTTCTGCTTCTGCTAGTACTACCACCACCACGACGACGACGACGACGACCACCACCACCACCACCACCACCACCACGCCTCCTCCTCCTCCTCCTCCTGCTGCTGCTGCTCCTACTACTACCACTACCACTACTACTGCTACTACTACTACTACTACTACTCCTACTCCTACTGCTACTGGCTGCTGCTGCTACTGCTAGCTACTCTGCAACAACTACTGAGAGGTTGGGGATCCAAACTTGCCGAAACTTGCGCTATTCATTAACATTCAATCACAACGAGAAGCTCATCAAGGCTCAGAGTTCCTCGGAATGCACAAAAATTCCACGAAACCCCCGTCACCTCTGGCCGTTTCAACCCTCAACCCCAAACCCCCAGCCCCCTGTTCTTTAGCCGCTAAGCCTTGCTGGCCAAAAGCCCCACTTTCCCGACATGGCTCTGCCCGGGGCCGTAACGCGGCCGAAGCACATGGACTGAACCCAAGAAGATCATGAATGCTGCAGGAACAGCTGTTGGGCTTAGGATTTCAGGGTTTGTGTTTAGGTGTTCTTTGCACAACCGCTGGCCACATCCTCGCGAGCCGAAATACGAATATTGGTGCCCACTTCCAGCATCTGAAAGCCTTCATCGAGAGCCATGTAAGCAACCCTACATGTACTTCACACACCCTCATTTGCATCAGGACTTGTGCAATGGCCCGACCATTGGCCCAGAAAGTACATACTTAGTAACCTAGTACACAACTTAGTCGATGTAATATCGCAGCCTCATTACAGCTTACAACTACAAATCCTGCAGCCAACACCCGGGCCGGAGACACTGAGGCTTAAACCGAACCCCGGTCACCCAGGACAAAAGATGCAGGCAATCCACAAAACTCGAAACTCCTCAGCAAAACAAACCCGACTAGGGGTCAGTGACCAGCGTCGAAACACAAACACTCCCTTGGCCCTAAACTGCTTTGGGTCAGATATGGGAGCTTCTTGAAGGCCGATATCCCACTAGCTTTCGGTGCCGGTAGTAACTTCTGTCGGCTTCGGTGTTACTACACCGTGCTGTGTGTGGACCACCCGTTAGGCCCGTTAGAATGTTCCGGCTCGGCCTTGCAGCAGAAGGTTGCACCCGCAATTGCGCCCAAGAGAGTTGGGTTTTTGTGTTCAAGTTGAAATACGCAGTTTCGGGAAATGCCATAGACACACCGTTAATATCCTAAATGCAATGAAGTGCTCAACCTACCCCTGTCCTTATCATCCTCAATAAAGCCCAACACCTTTCCTTAAGGGCGTCTTCTCAACCCCTTTAGATCCTTAAGCCTCAGAAGCGGAGGCCCTAATTAAGGCATGTGTAAACGCCTGGTGTAGCCCTTCCTTAAGAACGAGCGAAATGACCCGAGACAAAAGCCGCTCTGTAACCTTATACCATGGATCCCAGAATGGTAAGTGAAAGTCTTTTGGGCAGAGGTCGCCCTTGCCTTTGCAGAACCTTCCACCACCCGGAAAACCCTTGTGTTTGTGACCATACTTCCCAAATCCAATACACACTAACCTGAAACCAGCCCGAAACTCAGAACCCCAATTAACCCCCAAACCCTAACCCTAAAACCTTACCATCTCTTCCCTACGCCCGGAACCCATACTCCCTAGACATTCAAGCTTGCTTGCCTGATTTTTGAATTCCTGATGCATGCATGGTCTTTTGGCATCTCCCTGAATCGAATGATCCTAACCCTCAAATATGGTATGTAAACCCTAAACCTAAGCCCTAAACCCTATAAGCCCTATAACCGATCTGGTGGCACCTCGCGGATCCGCATACGGCATTGCAAGACCTCCAGTGCTTCGGGTTTTCTAGGCATCACGTAGGGTTCAGGGTTTAGGGCATCGCCGATGCTACATCGAATGTACATCGGGTTTCGTCTCCGCCTGAAAGCTACATCTCCTCGGGTTCGGAGTAGGACTCCACATGTCTATACCAGGGCTTATAGGGTTAAGTCCTTACGCCGTAGACCCGTGTCTCCCAGGCTCACGAAACCACTAAGCCCAAGAATGTTACCTGAAAGTGTCGGAGATTAAGAAACCTTAACACAGACCCTAGCTAAAGTAACAACGATGCAGCACTCATAAATGCAGCAACACGAAACGACACGAATGTCAATAGAATGATTTCAACCCGTATCCCCTACCCTCCCAATACAACAGAAGCCAAGCAATGTTTACCAGACACTGTACGCACAAAAAGTATTAAACTTGCCTGTTAGGGCACAATGGGGCAGCAAGAACTAGGGATTACGAGGGCATACTATGACAAATTATACGAAACTCTCTCTCTCTCTCTCTCTGTCTCTCTCTATCTCTATCTCTCTCTCTCTCTCTCTCTATACATACATACATGTATATATGTATATATTATCAGATTAACCCACACCTCTCAATCCCAAGCCCTAAACCTCTGACACCGTTGCTAACCCCCATCCTTTGATAAGGACTCGCATGGAGAGCCTAATAAACTGTATAACGTTCAGGCCCATGGGTTCTTGACCAAAAGACCAAAAGTCTATATTTCATTACACCCTAAACCCTAAACCCTAAACCCCGAACCCCAAGCCCCACATTCAAGCAAACGCCTGGGAAGGCGCCAGGCGGTCCTCGAGCTCCTGCCGGAGAGCTGAAGACTCTTTCAGCCAGGAATTATAAAAGTATGGGGAGATGAGTGTTGGGGATCGATCATTTTTTTCCCTTGGGGATCGGGTTATGTTCAATGGCTTTTTATGAGGAAGTCGATTCGGAATAGTATAAGAGATGGAACCCGAAATGCACAGATCGGCTCTCGCAGCCCCGATGGAACCAAACCCCCCAAAACCCCCACAAACAGTCAGCGCTGCTCCTGGCGCGTTCGGCTGGTATGGTGCAATCTGAATGCCGTTCGGGAGATACTGCGGCATAGCCCTGGCGGATTCGGCTTGGTGTTTTAATGAAGCAAAAACCCAAAAGAAAGGCTTTTTTGGCAGTCGCTTCATGAAGCTTAGTGCTTCAAAGGGCCTAACTTCGGCCTTTAACACTCTACCTCAACAGCCAAAGCCGAACACCGCCCAAACCAACCAGTCAACCCACACCCCGTGTGACTGCAAGGAATTACGTGTAAGCTCTGTCGGCCCAAGGGCAATACTATCCTCGCTCAGAAGGTTTGAGGGGTACCTAGGCCCCCACTACCCTGTACTGTACCCTATAAATGTCCACGGTTAAGGACCATAAGGGCTCTATTAAGGCTTCTCTTGACTTCAATCGTAGTTGACTGTTTGGTTAAACCAGTATTAGGGCTAGGGTCCTATAAAGTAACCCCCAAAAAGCCAACTACAATGGGGACTATAGGTAAAGTCTTAAAGGCGAATGAATTATGTTTGGGGGTTTTGGAGTTTGGGGTTGACGCAGTCGGGATCTACCAATATTTGTCTACCAACAATAGTGTGCAGGGTTGTAACAGAATTTGTAAGCAGTAGCTCTTAGGTTATACATATGCATATATATATATATAGTATGTGTCTGTTGCTTTTGTGAGTGCTATTATGATCACGATCCCCGGTTTGGGCCATCAGGCTTATGCCACTGAACGAGCAGTGCTTGTAATCATGCCTGTTCTGATTCAATACTGTCCCGGCTGTGGGTCCACTCGGTTATGTTCGCCAGGACTAACTCATGGTTCATGGCGCAGATGCAGCCGACGATCATATGTACCATGAACATGAGTTCCGGGTTGAGGCTCAGGTGAGCCTGCACAAACAGTCTGAATTTGTTCGTCGAGGGCATCAGACAGGGCAAGCTCGGACCAGGAATTAACGGGATCTCCCAAGAAATCATGTTAAACCCGTCAACAACCGGAATAACTTAATCCAACACCTGTTGTGGTCACTTTCTTCTTTAACAAAAGCGATGACATTACAAGCTCTGCAAGAAGCAACCCGGCAGCCATAAACATCATAAACGCTGCAACCATACCTGATCCTTTTGAATCCCCAAGCAAGGGCACATGACTCACAGTGAGACTCAACTACCCACTGGCTGAAACAACTTCATGCACCCTCTACAGCCCCACAGCTGTAAAACCCTAAGCTGAACTTCCTCTGATGATCCCTTCTTACGGCTAGTCTCGTAGCACCGCTCCCCAGGCGGAGCTTCCTCCCTAAACTCTACTGTTTAGGGGTTTAGAGTTTAGGGTTTAGGATCCGGAATCATAAAACCCGACCAGAGCAACAAAACAAAGAAGCTACTTTACTCCAAATCCTAGGCCCGCAACCTTAAAAACCCTCCAATCATCAATCGAACTCAACTCAGGGCAAGAAAAGCTTCTCGAGGCCCTGGATCCTGACTTGAAGTTACACTGCCGGAAGACAAAAGCGTGGCAGACAAGCCTCGACCCCAGAGCATAAACACCAAAACAAGGAACACCACCCAAAAAACCCTGAAGTGACCTAACCCTGACCCTCCAGGTGCCTACTATATAGGGGCCCTAGGGGCTCTAGTACCCATATAGGAAGTACCTGGAGGGTTAGGATAAGTTCAGCAAATCTTTGCAGCGGAGCGACGGAGGCATCTGTGGAGCCTGTATCACGGGGTTTCGGGCTTCGGGGGGCTAAGGGCTTCGAGCTTCGTGGCTTTCGACTCACACACTCGCAAAGCAGGCATGGTGGTTACGGTCTGGCTTTGGGGGTTGAGGGTGTTCAGGGCTGTAGCTTGTTTTCTTCGCAAAGGGGCTTCAGGGATTGTCAGTAATCCAACAGTCCTCAGAAACTTTAGTTATAGGGGCACTCTAACCGGCCTTGTAGCAAGCTACTGCATATCTGCATAACTACGAACAAGACTCCCTGGTAGCCCCTGCGTGATCTTATACCCCACAAACCCTATTCTAGTGATCCTACATTACACTGGCCTTTTCGGCCATGATCTGAAAAGACCTTTCGATGAGTAGCCATATTCGGATACAGCGGTAGGGACTCAGTTACCCTTCATTACAGCTCTGGCATCTGAAACGTCGCAGTCATGGTGTCTAATCCAAATCAAGAGCTTAAAGCTTTAATCCCCGAACCCCAAAGCCAAACCACTGTGTGCCTGAGCCGCGGCCTTGCTTCCGGGTGCTGGTTGGTAGGGCTGGATGTTGGAGGGAGCCTGGGAGGAGTGTGTGTGGGTGTGTGTTTGTATTTTGTTGCGGCGTTGCCTCCCACCTGGTGCATAGTAGCTGAGTTTCATAGAGGTTCTCATTGAGGGTTTTGTAGGGGTTCCATGTTGAGTTTGGAGGGGTGAAGCGTCTGTGGGATTGTAGGCTTTATGGCTTAGGGCCTTCAGGCTTGGGGGTCCATAGTTTTAGGGCTCAGGGCTCTTAGTCTTCGAATTTAAGGGTTCAGGGCTTACCGCTGTAAGTTTGGTCTGTAGTAGGGTCTTTTCGGGTTCTCGGGTTCGATCCCTTGACCTTTGGGGCTCACGTCCGTCGACACGGTTGGGCAAGATCTGCGCTGCCAGGCCCATGGGTTCAGGGTTTGGGCTTGGGGCTTGGGGTTTAGGGTGTCTGGAGTTTGGGCAAGGCCACCCGACATCATAACGTCCCGACAAACCCTAAGGACGTTGAATCATACCGCTGGGATTTGAGGGTTCCAGAAAAGCCGGGAAGAACATATGGATACCAAACAATAGAACCCAGAATAAGGACCCTCAGTGTTACTGCATTTCGATCGTAAGAAACCCTCTAACTTCATGCTCTAGATGAGTTGCCCCAGCTTCCAGGGACTACTTTGAGGAATTTGGGGCAGGCGAAGATTCAGGGTCCACAGGCTTGAGGGCTTGAGGAGTCTATGCCGGTTTACTCCGTTCGGGTGGTGAGATCCCTTCAGCCTTCAACCGAGCTCAGCGAACGGACTTGACCAGCTTTAGCCGTTCCACTGGCAGAACGCTTCAATCCACGGGACTTGCCCGAAACAAATCTAAGACCTTCAGATTCGAAAGGATTCTCAAAGGATGCCACTACGGAAAGCAAGTGTGGGTTGCCTGCAAATATTTTTACATGGGGCATCTTGCTACCCAGGTAGGTACTAAGGAGTACACGTTCATGGGGACGAGAACAAGTGGAATTGATTTTTGAGCCGTCTCCATCAGAGTCGGGATAAACCCTATAAGCCTGGAGCCCCTAAATTCCAAAATCCCCCAAAACCCCCTAACCCCCCAGATACCTACTATATAGGGTACTAGAGCCCCTAGGGCCCGAGAAAAGGGGTTAGGGGCCCTGGCTTCAGGGCGTCTCGAACTTGAACCACCCAGCTGACGCTTTTGTCGCTTCGGGGGCCGGGCCGGAAGGTGACCCCTCAACCGCCTAAAACCCCTAAGCCCTAAACCCTAAAACCGCCTAAAAACCCTGAACCCTAAACCCCTAAAAACCCTAAAAACCCTAAACCCTAAACCCCTAAAAACCCTAAACCCCTTTTGAAACCTCTAAACCCTAAACCCCTTTTACAACCCCAATAAAGGCGCCTTACTAGTTGAATCCTATCCGAAGCCACGGCCATAGACTCAACACCCTGCTCAGACCCATCCTCGTACCTGTTTCATAGGGTGCCTACGTTTATCTCTGCAGAAGATACGAACCAACCCTATGTAACTCGTCAACCTTACGACCCTACATGTAGCTCTTACCCATATATAGCCCCTAATCACGATAATGCTTTCAGCTTGGCAGCATAGGGCGGGTTCAAGTTCTGCGGCGCAGCCTTGGAAGAGCGTGCGAGCTCCGCCATGGTAGCAGGATCGGCCTCCTTTGCGCACATAGGAGTTCGGTCTGACGGGCCGTGGATCATGGCAAGTAGAAGTATAGTTAGATCTGAACGTACACGCTTTGTTTAGGGAGGTTGTGGGATTTGTGTCGCGGCGGAAAGACACGAAACCCCGCCGGAACTCGAAACATCCGAAGCCCAGGACTCCACTGCAGCTGCGTATTTCACGAGGACACACAGGCCTAAGAAGCCAGGAAGAACCGGAAACCCAATCGTCCAACAGCCCATGGACTCTGTAGAAGGGCGTCCCCTAAACCCTAAACCCTCGTCCTCCGGCATGACCCAGACCGCATTGATGCCACCGCTTGGGGAGGCTTGACTGATTCCATAGGCTGCCCCCCTGCATTGAGTCAGTCTGGGCATGAAGTGTCAAGCATTGTAATATACTATAGCATATTATCATATATATATACATAGTATTACAATATAATTAGACTGCAGTCCACTATAGGGTTCTGTGAGTTTGGGGCTGCGGGCTGGAAAATTTAAATGAACTTGGGGACAGTTTCATCTGGTGTGTGGATGTAGGGTTGGGTTTAGGAGTTTAGGGTTTTAGGGAAGTTTTTGGGCTTTAGGGCTTACACGGGTTTAGGGTTTATGGGGTTTGGGATCATGGATTCTGGCTCCAGCGGGCAGAAATTCAGGCTTGCTCATGGAGCTCTCCTATCGCAGAACGTAAACTACGCCATACTGTTGCTCGGCCTAGCTGACTGAAGGAAGGATCCCCAAAATATAGCCCAAAACAACTAACTAAACCCTAAACCCTAAACCCCTAAACCTTAATAGCCCGAAACAACTAAACCCTCAATCACGGCTGCCTGGGACCATTGGCCAGGACCTTCTGTGCGTCCTGGCAGGCCAGCAGGAAAGAAGGCCGGCAAGGACGGCTTGTGAAAGGACGGTTTCCAAAAAATCTGCTTTAGTGCATGGCAAGGGGTAGATCTCAGCCTTACAGGGCAGAGATCTACCACGGTTTAGGGTTTAGGTTTTAGGGCATTTTAGGGTTTAGGGTTCAAGATTTTCGTTTTGGGGCTGTGCCCTTCGTAGTAATGCTGATAAGAGTGGCAACCACCCCCTCAAATCTCCGGCCGCTTCGGTGTAGGCTAGGCGGCTAGACCCAATTGCACTGTCTCTCGGCTGACGAACTAGAAACACACGGGCTGTCGTGAGGGTGTCGATGGTGTTTGGCGGGTGGTGCTGGTGGTAAGAGTGATGCAAAAGCAATCGTATTTTGGTGATGACGATTCCAACGGTACGGACCCCGGAAACACTGTAAACACGAATTCCGAACACCCCAAATGTCAGACTCTTAGACCCTAACCCCCCAGGTAACTACTATACAGCGTACTAGGGCCGGTTAGGGAGAAGGAACTTCAGTCTCGAGGTGCCTCCGAAGCCTGCGTCTCCTCCTCTTGGGGAGCCTCGCCCCGTAGCCAACCGACAATGCCAGAGACCTGAACTGTAAACGCCTAACCCCCCAGGTAACTACTATATAGGGGGTCTAGGGGCTCTAGTACCCTAGATAGTAGGTACCTGGTGGATTAGGGAACGATAGTAAACGGATTCGGTTGCAGGCGTTTTTTGGGCCTTTGATATAGTTACAGATCGGAAGCTGTCGCGCGGCTTACCGTTCGGCAGTCTGGAGGCTGGATCAGCGTCTTATTTATTCTAACGCTGAGGTTGACTACCGCGTCCGGTTCCCCAGCCTGAAACAGTGAGTCCGGCGATTGCGTTATTGGTCACTGGCGGCCACATGATGCAAATGGCAACATGCCATCGCCGGTTCTTACATTCTTGACGTCTTCCCAAGACTGCTCGCCTCAGTAGGTCCAAATGTCATCGCAAACAACTCACATCACCTCTGACCTTATTCCTGAAGAAGCATTCAAGCTACTCGAGCAAGGAACGCACACCTCTGCGCGTTGCAGGGGCATTCATGCTTGAAGTGCAAGTTCTTGAGGATCTAACACAGTTGGCGAAGTAGTTGATCCTATGCAACCACTTTATATACCCTGGGAGCTGAACTGCCGGCCGTTGTAACGCCGGCCCTCTAAACCTTGCGCATCAGATCTTCGATGTCCTTGTGAAGCCCATGCTTCAAAAACTCCAGCCAAGGACCAATCAACGTGAAATATATGCTATGTGAGATATACGATACCATTGTGTATCTATATATCAATACATATACATATACATATACATATACATATACATAGACATAGACATAGACATAGACATAGACATAGACATGGACATGGACATACACATACACATACACATATACATATACATATACATATATACATACATACATACATACATACATACATACATACATACATACATACATGGAAAATATCCATACATACATATAAATAAATAAATATATGTATATAGATAGAAAGGTACGCCGTGGAGGGGGGAGTTTGGAACAACACATTTTCCCTTGACATGAATTATTTGATAAAGGAATAAGATGTTGCTATCTCCAAACACCTACATTACTCTGCCTCAAATAAAAAGTGAAAACAACAGCTTTCTGCCATCCGCAGGCGGAAGGTACTACGTGGATAAACAAATATGTATATCCATATAGATAGATAGATAGATAGATAGATAGATATATATATACACACATCATATACATATACATAAGTTAAGCCAGCGACCCCGTCGATGAGAATGTCCCCGGCCTCAGGCGGAAGTTAGAGGCTGCTGTTGCCTTCCAGTTTCCACCTTCCATAAGACTCCAAACAGCCCAAAGTATGTACCATTTACATGGACTTTAGACCCCGAACGTAGGTACTACCGTATTTGTATTGTTTAGCCATGCGAAACCTCGGAAGTTCGAGCTAGACTGGTGCTAGACCGGCCCCACCGCTAAACTCGAAACCCGAAAAGGAAGGATTAGATCAACACTTTTTTGGAGAAAACGCAAGCTGGCGTTAGAAATTTTTCCGGGAGCATAGCGTTTAAATTTTGCAGTTTGGACCGACGATGTAGGGGCCCTTTTCAAGCCCACTCGCAAACAAGGGCCCGACACAACCTGCCAGAACAGGGTGCCCCCTAAACCCGGAACCTCGACCAAAAACTAGCCCTCCGGTAGAGTACGTCCTGCACCTAAATACCTGGCAACCAGTCTCAAGCCGAGGCCAGTCGCCAGCCTTCGTAGCCGCAGCCCTAAAATTGAACAGCATGCTCCCAAATATCTACACTCAAAAGCCTGACAGTCTTAAGGAGAACAGCAACACAGCTCTTCATTCAGGATAACCTCAAGATATAAACTCGGAGTCCTACAAAATTCCACCTGAGGGTTTCCACCAAAAGCAAAAGACCTATAACATATCTTTGACAGAAGGCTTTCCACATAGGACCCCTGAGTTTCAGTAGAACTACCACCTAGAAGTAGGCAGGACCGGCGAATGAAACCCTGATCAGGGTTCTTGCTCAGGGCCGCCAATAGGAGTTACCAACACATCGGACATATACTGTGTACGATGCTGTCCTTGCCATAACAACTGAACATAAGTTACTGATGAAACGCTGAAAAACCGATGAACACCAAATCCAGAAAATGCTGCCGAGACCAGATGCAGCCTTATGACAACCGTGTGACGACACTATCAATCAGGCCTTTCAGATATCCTCCTACAACAGGAGGGCCATAACCAAGACCTTCGAGAAGCCTGTCAACAAGTATCTGCAGCCCAACCGCATCGGCCACAGCATCCTTGACCGCTCCCACTGCACCCTTCTCTTTGAAATCCTCCGAAGGTTCTGGGGGTCTACCGGTTTGTTTAAGGGTCACCTTTCTCTCATTCGGTGTAGTCTTGGTATATGCTCCCACTCGGACAGGCGAGGCATGTGTCGGCTTGGTCTGTGATGGGTGAAAGAGAAAGCTGGAATCGTCATAGCAACACCCGCTGACTCTTCATAACAATCTCCTGTCAAGATCCCAGCTTTGTCACAGGATTCCTTCCTGTGTCAAAGCAGCTTAGCCTCAAGGAGTCCTCTTCACACCACTATAGGCAATCAGCGATTGAATTCCGGGAACAAACATACAGGTACTGTGCATGGAAGTTGCAGGGACGAGTACCCAAATGTCATTCTGCTGCGATGCATACGAAACATATGTCTTTGGCTGAGTAGCAGACGATAACCGATAGTTATGACCTGAAGGCAACTTCGACTCCATCAATCGAGGATTTTACCCTACATGTACAGTGATGTTTTACGCTATAGTGAATGTGCACCCTCTGCGCCCTGCCGTTCAGGTGGATTCCCTTGGTGGCTGTCATGCTGAGCAGACGTAACATCACAACTCCCCGGCTGTCCGCCGACATTCCCACAGGCGCCGGACTTCATCGAATTCCGAACTGAAAATGACTGTTGGGCAGTTTCTCGTGCTCTCAGTGAGACATCCCACAATGCAAGCCAGCGCCATGCCATTTCCATCCACGCTGCTAGGCTGGTCTCTTGTTGAGCACAATATTTGAACCCTACACCAACTGTGCAGGAGTCATCTGTGTAGCAGAACCGTCCCGCAGTCGCTTACATCGTCCGCACCGCTCAGGAACCGAGCCACCACCAAGAGAAGGGGTGTTGGACTTAAGGGCTTTTAGATAAGCCAGTCTGACCTCGTTGTTGGTTTAGAAATAAGGCTCGAAGGGCACTTGGGTCTAGAGATCAGATAAGCGCTTAGCTAAGGGTGTAGGACAGTTAAGCGGGTGTCGACCGACATAACCTTGATCAGGGGATTGGGGTGCATGTCCAACAAATGGCGCCAGAAACGAAGGTATGATTCTCAAATCGGTGCTGTAAAGGCTTGCTTTGTAAGGAACCATTTGGTTCACGGCTTTGAGCCCTAGGCGAACCAAACACCCCAATCCTGCACGGTGAGGGCAACCTCCTCGCCGACGATGCCCTTGAAATGGGCCCAGATGTGTGGGGTTTACAGTTTAGGGTTTGGGTAACAGTTCACAGTCTCAGGTTGAGGGTTCAGCACCCCAAGACCTTCGAGCTTGGAAAGCGGAGGTGAAAGGGTAGGAGCCGCTGGCTAGATGCTCCTTGTGGGGGGTTGGTTTTCGGTGGGGACGATGGTGCGTCTCTAGCCGATGTCGACTTCGCCGTTGACATTGTTGTTTTTGCTGCGATCGGGTTTGAACATGTTGTCTCGACGTCGGCGTCGCTGCTGCTGCTGCTGCTGCTGCCGCTGATGCCGCCGCTGCTGCTGCTGCTGCTGCTGCCGCTGCCGCTGCCGCTGCCGCTGCCGCTGCTGC